CTTGGTGCTTTCTTTCTTGTTTTTCCTCATTTACCAATATGCTCTTAAAGAACTATTGACAAGAAGCTGTCTATAGAATACAAGCCCAGCTTCACAGACATCTTTAGCACAGATCAATCAGGTCTTGATCCTTGAGGATGCAGATTAACTCACCTTTTCATCAGAGTAAAACAATAAAGTACTGTTTTTTCTGTCCTTTCAAATGTATGTTTATGTTAGTGATTGTAAGAACTGAATCACAAAATTTAAGCAAAAAGTACAGAAGTGAAATCACTGATAAATGGTACTCACTGCTATTCCACTCTGACCATGCCTCCAAGCCTGGCATCTGACTTGTAGGCAGTAGCTACTCTGCAGACACATTGGCCTGTTTAGATTACTGTTGAACTGCAGCAACACCAGTCAGTCCTATTCTATTTTACTCACCCAATAACACTCTCCAGCCAAAACAAACAGTGTGGTTATTAAATTTTGAATACCAGCTTCATTTATTTTTATCCTGAATTCAGCTTTATATTTTACAGAGTCATTTGAATTTTATTAATATTTAACAGCAAAAACTAATAGAACACATTGATCTGACTTGACATAGCTGATGTAAACACTGCGACACTTCCCCCTCCCTTCTTGCAGGGAAGGTTGAATGAGCTGAGAAACAGCCAACTTACTGTGCAACAACCAAGTGCTGCCATCTAGCGATTTATCATTCAGAACACAATCCCATAACTGATTCAGCAGCTAGGTACAGATAAACCAAATGTATGGGGTGGAGAGCATTTTGGGAATGGCTGATTTCGGTAAGCACTGATAAAAAAACAATATTACTTATTTTGTATTAGAACATCCTTCTACAGGGGAAAAAGGCCCAGGTTTCAGTCATGTATGTTATGGTATAAACCAAAAGAACTTTTGGGATACCTGATAGCCTAAATTCCTCCAGATGGTTTCATAAGACTCAAAAACACATAGAAAAGTCTACCTGTCAGGAAATAAGCACATTTCTTGTAAAATTAGGACTTGCAGCCCAAACAAGGAGCCATTAGAACATTAGGACTGGGAAAGGAATATATACCATACCAGGGTGGCTGCCAGGGCCCCTGCCCAAGAAAAAGGGGCCACAGAGCTACAGTCATGGTCCCCCTCCCATCGCACAAGGAGACGAAGGATCACACACATCCAACAAATGCATTCCATTTATTCTGATTTCAATACTCTTATGGGATTTTGGCTTCCTGACCCTGAATCCCACCCTAACCCTTCCTTTTTGAAAACCACAACGTTAAAAAAGGACCATGATTATGGAGAACAGACCTCTCTAATAATGACCTCCAAACAACACAGGGTGGTTTACTCCTACATCTACCCTTTGAAGTATTTAGGGACCCTGAACTGACTCTAAAGGGTGGCTTATGACATATAGGGTGCATACATGCAGCATTTTAGACTACCATGTCCCAAAATTACAAATGGCCCAGAGTGCCTCAGGGATCCCTTTGCCTCAGACCAACACACTCTAGTTCCACACACACCAACACCCAGTTATGCTGTTATCCCCTCCCTACTGCGAGAGGGTCTGTTCCCAAATCAAAAGCCCAGTTCCATAAGAGAAGCACCCATCCAATCGATATCAACACAACTGTGGGATGAGGTGGGGAGGATGAAGGAAGTAACTGAATAATCTCAATAAGTGGATAATCACCTTGCTGAAGAATCAGGTGCCAAAACCTCCCCTTCCGAGCAAAGGCACATGTGAATCATCGTAAATAAAAGTTGAGGGAGATGGAGCAGGGTAGGAAGAACATGAAGCCCATTCCTCCTCACATATGCCCACCAGACTAGTTGAGTAAAACAGGGAAACAGATGGAAGCGAGACAAATCCCTTGTAGGATGCCATGAAGCAGAGAAAAGTAAACTGCAGAGGCACTGCCCACCTTGCACCACTAGGAGTTGGCACAGAAACAGTCAGGCCACACGTGCTGTAAGAAAAGTTGCTTTTATGGTGGTGAAAACCATGCCACTACTCAGTCCCATCATGCTCTGCAATTAGAGGAAGATACCCAAGAGACACCCCCCCCTCCCTTAGTCTACCTGCCCTATCTCAAAACATTCATCCTCTCAACTAAATAAACTCAATGCCCTCATATTTGACAGAACCAATGCGGGTCTCAGGCAGTAGGGAACGCCCATCCAAGGTGAAGGCTGTGATGTAGGTAGCCACACGTCCGGCATCTTCCTCAGACTTCAGTGCCACAATGATCTGGTCATCAGTGCCAGGGACAAACTTGAAGGAGGAGAAGCCATGGGTGGGAGTGATATCACCAATATGGCTCACAGTGATATCGGCAAAGTTTGGTGTGGAACTAAGAAGTAAATTGGTGCCACGGCGTTCATCCTCCTGTTCATTGTAACGTTTATGACTAGCTCGGCGAGGCAGGAAAAACCAGCGCTGGAGTGTTTCACTCCAGGAGGCAGACTCATGGATCAAGTAACCTGTGAGAGACAGAACAAAAATGGACACTGGTGAGCACAGGGCCAGGGGTAAAAGCAGTGCAGCCACAGAAGGTCTAAACACAAGGACAGACCAATATGACTTCAGCAAGACTTAGGAAGTGGCTACAACAAGCACTGGGAATCGATGGCAGATAGAACTAGTGCACAGGTCTTGGCAAGGCTGTACAAGAATAAAGAAACAATTCCTTACACACCCCCTAAGCACTGTTGTGTCCTGCCTTCCCAAATTCCACAGCTTCCTCGCCTTCCTTTCTTCTGTTTAACTAGTCCAGTCCTCAGTAAAAACATAAAATCTCAAAAACCTGACATCTTGGAAGCAGAATCACATGAAGTAAACAGGTGCCAACATGCTCACTTTGCAATCCAAGAATCTGCCCATGCTTACCTGGGGGTTTGATCCCTGCTGCCGCCCTGAGTGCATTGTAATTGGCCACCCAGTTCTCATGAGCCACATCACCTTTGTAGCCGATGACTTTCACCCATTCAGGATTCTGGTTGAGCACCTCCCCTGTGGCTGTTGTCCAATCTTTGCCCAGGCCTCCCACGTACAGATGTTCATCCTTCACTGCCAACCATTCTGCCTTAAAACCTGAGCAAAATAGGGCATAGTTCAGGGCATAAGATAGGGCATGCAATGCTTTTGAAAGTGACATTTCTAGTCAAAATATGCACCATGGCCTCATGTCCAAAGCCTGCCCCAATGCTCTCATATGGAGTGCTGCATATGTGCTTTGGGGGGGGGGGTGAAGGTGAGGTGGCAGGGAATGTTTACTTCCCAGGGCCCTTTAAAAAGCACAATGGAATTCCATTTCAGCATGTCTTGGAACCTACAGCAAAAGAACACTGAAGACTGCCATTCCATGGTGGCAAATTTCGATTATATTTGCCGACTGCCAAAAGATTTGAGGTGGTCATAGCTGTACTGAGGGAGATAAAACTGGGACCTGGTCTGGCTGTTAAGGCATTCCCCAACACAAAAGCAGCTCACCCTTGCCAACACTGCCATCTCCATCTGACAAGATCACCCAAGGTACCACCTTGGTGCCATCGATTTGGTAGACAACACCCGTGCGATCATCCACAGCATAGAGCTTGCCATTAAAGACTACCAGTTCAGAGAGCTCCATGCCACGTCCCTTCTCAGCCAGGTGAGACTCCAATACGTGGTCCTTGGTATCCCACTCAACAGAGACATGGTCCCCACTGGCCGACAGTGTCAGGTAACCCTTTTTCAGGTAGCTGATCCAGGTATGCTCACTGGAGCCCTTGGAGTTTGTGTCCAGGTCAGCAATGAGTCCAATGCGATACCGCACACCTTCAGGGATCCGCTGGGCTGGGGACAGAGGGTATGTGTCATTGTACCGTTCGCTGGGAAGCACACTGATCCGCCAGTTATGAGCGTTGGCAGGCACTGGCCTGCTTACCGAGGGTGTACGCTGGAAGCAGAGTAGTAGCAGCACAAGGGCCAAGGCCAGAGAGGTTGCCACAATGGCCTTCCAGCGTAGGCGGAAGCGGGGGTCAGCTGCCTTGGTCATGGACGCCAGCACTGGGAGGCTGCCCACACTAATCCGCAAGGGACTCAGAGACTCATCCCATTGCAGGCGTGGGCGGAGTGGGACTGGCATGAGCCTGAGGTTCCTGGGAACCTGGGGGGACAAAAAAACAGGGTCAGTAGGGACAAATTAAGGAGTACAGGAAGCTGAGGGAGAGCTCTGAAGCTCTCAAGATGAAGTAGAGAGAGAGAGAGAGGAGAGCAGCAGAGATACCATTCCTGATGCTTGTTCATGCCAATGGTAGAAGGAAGACGCTATTTAAAAAGGGAAAGGGGCCAAGAACAGATATTGGCTGCAGCAGCAGTGGTAAAAGCCAGGCAACTGGGCCGGGAATTCTGCAGTAGAGGAGAAGGAGAAGAAGGAGAAAAAGTTCTCTCTCAAGCAGGATTGTCTAAGGCTATAAACCAGAACCTCTCCGACAAGCATTCTTATCCCTGAGAACTCAGGAATCTTAACCTCTCACCTGTTGATAAGGATCCTCAGACCCATAGTGATTCTCCCACCTCAGAAAACTGGCTGTTTACATGATCTTGATAGCCATTATGCTGGGCTCCCTGCCCTTCCAGCATTGCTTGGCTGTTCCCAATTTATATCTTGCTGGCAGCTCTGGGGACACGCCACACCTGTAGGACTGTGACAGGTGGCAAAACACAGCTCCTCCCCAAACAGAAACCAGGAACTGCAGCAACTGCCACCAAGTCAAAGAAATCCTTGCCTTGCCCAACCCATTCTGCTTAAAGATATAACAGACAGACCTTCCTTCCTGTTCTGCTTGAGGAGCCACTGTGATATGCAGCCTGAAAGATTCTGCAAGAATGGCAGTGCATGTATAACCCCTATGGCAACAGCTTTCCCTGTTCTCTCCCTACACCATGCCTGCATCAGCTACATCATCAGTGTGGCTCCAAAATATTAGAGAAAATAAGCTATTTATTGGAAAATATCTAGCATGCAAACGGATGGTCTTACATTCAGAGCCTAGAATGGGTACTGCCATGTGCCTGATCCTGTTCACTTAGAAAACAGAGTGTCAGAGACTATGATCTGGGAGACCCAAGTCTAAATCTCCACTCTTGGGCCAATCACATACTCTCACCCTAATGTACTTCACTGGGTTATTGTGAGGGGAACACGGCAGAGAGGAAAATCACTTAAGCCGCTATGAGTGCCCTGGTGGGGATATAGATGAAGCAAATAAACCTCTCCAGAAAACCTGTGTTGAGGCCACAGATGCTTAAATTCCCAGAACAATTTCTACAGGGCCCCTGTTTGCAGGCCTTAGCTGAGAAAGCCCATCTGCTAGGGCTTGTAAAAAGACAAAAAAACATTTTGCACTGATGTTCTTCATTTGACATAGTCAATACGCCTTAGGGAAATCAGGTGGGTAGCCGTAACGGTTTGAAGCAGCAGAACAAAGTTTGAGTCCAGTGCCACCTTTAAGACCACCAAAGCTTAATTCTGGGTATAAGCTTTTGTGTGCATGCATCTGATGAAGTGTGCATGCACTCAAAAGCCTAGGCTATTTAGGGATCCAGGTGGGAGGATCCCCTAGAATCATAGCTCATCTCAAGACTAAAGAGATCAGTTCCCCTGGATAAAATGGATGCTTTGGAGGGTAGACTTTCTGGCACTGCAACCCAGAGGTCCCTGTCCTCCCCCAGGCTCCATCCTCAAATCTCTAGGAGTTTCCCAACCTGGATCTGGAAACCCTACCCCCCCATCCCTTAACAGTGGCCTGACTACACCTTCCCTGAACACTACAAGCCCCAGAGGGCCCAATTGGAGAACAGAGTGGATGGTATATCTACAAACGGGACTAGATGAACAGGAACATTAAAGGAGGACTAAGAATTGCATACACCCTAATCTGAATAGACAAGGCTAGCCTGATCCTATCAGATCTTGGAAATTTCAGCAGGGTTGGCCATGGTCAGTATTTGGACAGAAGACCACCAAGGAACACTGGGGTTGTTGTTACATAGAAGCAGGCAATGGCAAACCACCTAAGAACGTCTCCTGCCTTGAAGCGTCCATGAAGGGTTGCCATAAGTTGGCTGCAACTTGATGACAGTTTCCTCCACCACCAGGAATTGCACAGACATGGTGACATCCTGTGACAAGGCACATGCTCCACTACAAGGAGCAGTTCTGTCCTTTTACTCAATACCCACAGGAATTCCACAGTATTACAATAGGGTACGAGCCACCTCTCTGTTTCTACTATGCCCTTAGCCATTTGTGCATACGAGGACTGGGAGGGAAAGTATCCTTGCTCCCGTTGGGTAGAGGTGTTAAAAGTTCTGGCGCCGTCGTTAGGCAGATAGCGTTGGCATACATTTTTCAGATGTATTATCGTGTACAAACAAACAATGCCCCTTCTTTCAATAGCGCCTGAATTTTTCCGGGGCGGGGAGAGACAAAGAGGTCACTGTGCTGCCGCAATCCCCGCATCGCCTTTAGGCCCAGAGGAAAGGCACCCAAGTTTCCTTCAGCAAAGGGCTTCCCCCGACGCAGCTACAATTCCGCTCCAGGAGCGGCACGGAAGGCGCGCCAAAGGATCTAATAGGGGAACCAACCGCCCCATGATCTTTCCGGTGCGACGAACGGCCAGAGCCACCCAGGGTGGGAGCCCGGCCGGCCGGCAGTACCCGACCTATTCCCCGTCCATGACAGTGCAGGGACTGGGACCAGTAAAGGGGACCCTTCGAGACGATGGCAACCCCACCCCCCAACCACCGCGTAGCCCAGGAACCCAGGCGTCCGACAAAAATACCCCCACTTCCTTCCAGGCAACCACTCACCGACCGGGCTCCTCCCCGCGCCGGGAACCACCAGAGGGAGGGCAGGACCTCTAGCAGCGCTCCCTCCTCTTTCGAGAGAACTACAAATCCCAACATGCACCGCGCTAGAAAAACCACTACATGGCTCAACATCCCGCGTGGTTGAAGTGAAGGAAGCGCAAGACAGGAAAAAAACTGAAGGGTTTGGGGGTGGGTGAGGTAGAGGCATTTCCTAAGTTGTGCACGAAAGTCGATCCGGGGACGCGGATTTGTCATCGCATTTTCTGTGTGTGGAGTCGTGCCCCATTTTTGCAGATGGAGTTTCCGCATGCGAGGGCAAAGTTTCAAAAATAAACCCTACCTAGTTAGTGCATTCTTGTCTTTTGCCCAAGAAGCGCAGGGTGGTGTACGTGGCTCCCCCTCCCCCATTTTGCCCTCACAACAACCTTGTGCGGTTGAGAGAGAGTGACTGGTCGAAGGTCAACCAGCGAACTTCGTGGTGGAATGATTATCCCAGATTCCAACCTGGCACTCTAGCCAGTAGGCTGCACTGTGGCATGATGGCAGTGTGGCATTGTGGTCCTTGGCTCAGTAATATAGCTTGCTATTCAGCTGGGATTCCTCTGAAATGTTTTTAAAAGCAGGCATCTTGTGTTGACCACAGCAACATCTTGGCCGGCCCCCAAGATAAAAAATAATAATAAGAAATAGAACATGTATATAATCGGTGGTGGAGTGGACAGTGTTGTCAAGCCACAGGTGATTTATGGCAACCTAGCAGGGTTTTCAAGGCAAGAGACCTTCAGAGGTGGTTTTGCCATTGCCTGCCTCTGCATAGTGACCCTGGACATCCTTCGTGGTTACCCATTCAAATACTAACCAAGGTCCATGCTGCTTAGCTTCCAAGATCTGATGAGACTGGACTAGCCTGGGCCATCCAAGTTAGGGCAGTGTATAATTAGCTGAATTCAATGCCCTCATAGCCAATAGGGAAATAATCAAAATACTCAAATGGATGCAATTGGAAGAACATGCACATTGATGTTTCCCTGAAACCTTCCCTAAAATCCATCCTAAAGCACTGGGAATCCCCCCCCCCCCCAAGCTGCCTTCAGAGTTACTACCGTATCTGCTCAAGAGAGGTGCTCACTTGTGTCTTATGCATACTGTGAGGAGTCCAGAACAAAGTTTGAGTCCAGTGGCACCTTTAAGACCAACAAAGTTTTATTCATAACAATAGTTTTGTGTGCAAGCACACTTCATTAGATACAGTGGAACAGAACCTCCTCAACCTTTACTTACAGGGGGTGGAGCGGGCTTTGTTGTCAGGAAGTGCCATTTAGAGTCAAGAAGATGCATAAGTACTGGGTGATTATAACTGAAATTGGATGTAAGAAAGATCTGTGAGTGGCAGTAAATTAGCATACAAATACAAGAGTTAACAGATGTGGGAACAAGGTTTGAGTCCAGTGGTACCTACAAGATAAATAAAGTTCAATTTTGGGTACAAGCAAGAACTGAATTAGTATGTATACTCCTTCAGATTAATTGAAACAGATTTCCTCAAATATTACATATAGGTGTGGGGGGGTAGTTGCCAGGAAGAGCTAATTAGAGTCAAGATACCTGAGTTATTGAGCAATTAATGCATCTAAGATTGGAATAACACATTAGGTAAGACATGTAAATAGCAGTAAGTTGGTATACAGATAGTAAAGGAGTTAACAGATGTGGGAACTAAGTTTGAGTCCAGTGGCACCTTTAAGACCAACAAAGTTTGATTTTTGTATGTAAGTGAGAACTGAGTGACTTAGCATGTGTAGTGAGATAAGAAGCTGATATCTCTGTTAACTCCTGGGAGTTCTATTGTTCTGAGTGTTGTAATAACTTGTAATTCAGCAATCTCCTGTTCCTGAAGTTCCTTTGCAATAAAACAGCTACTTTGTGGTCCCTCACTGAGTGTCCTGGAAGGCTGAAGTGTTCTACAGGTTTATCAGTCTTGTGATTCTTGATGTCAGATTTGTGTCCACTTCTCTTTTGGTGTAGGGTTTGACCTGTTTGTCCTATGTAGAGAACGGAAGGGCATTGTTGGCATTTAATGGCATATACAGTGTTGGAAGATGAGCAAGTAAACAAGCCTGAGATGGCTACCCCAACTTGTTAGGAGTCCAGATATGGTTAATGTTGCCAGCTTTTTAACCAGGCCTTGCTTCAGTATCTTTAAGTTCAATTTGATCTGCAGATATTATTGGGGGATAATATTTATTTAACTAAGGCTGCGGTCACACGGCCAGGAAAATGCGGGGGGGAAGCGAGGCTGTTTCCCCCGGGGAAAATCAAAGCGCGGTTGCACGATCAGACCTCCCATGGAGGTCCCCTGGAGGTTCCGTGGAGGTCCAGTAGTTATGGGGAGGTGCGGATCACACGGCAAAGAAGCAGGGCCTCGGGGCAAAGAAGCGGGGGCCGCGCGCCGAGGGAAGGCGAGGAGGGGGCTGCCAGAGACAGCCGGCCAAGCGGCGCTGGGGAGAAGAGGGGCCAGCTGCCGACTGGGTGGTGTGGCATCGTGTCGGGCACGGCGTTTTCCCCACCAGTGAGGCAGGCAGGGGGTGGGCAGTAGGTCTGGAAGGGCACCGGTCCGGGGAGCTGGCTGGTGGGGTGTGCGAAGAGGGCACAGCAGCATGGCCCAGCCCCCTCCGCCCTGACCGCCCCTCCGCCCAAGCAGACGTCCTACTCTGCCGCCGCCCCCCCCTCTCCTGGGCTTCATCGTCTGCCTTGCCCCCTTTCCCCCATCTGTCGCTTCCCGCCTCAAGCCATGCACTCGGTGCTGTCTTCTGGCTGCTCTCCTCTTCTCTGAAGGACGTATGTTGTGTTTTTTTAAATTAAACATCCGTTTGCGCATGCTCCGTTTGGCGCTTGTGCGCAATCGTGGAGACTCGGAAAAAAAACACCTTTTGGCTAGGGGACATGGGCGGGCGCTGGAACTTCCTCCGGAAACACGGTCATACGCCCGCCCTTGCCCCGCGGTTTCTGGAAACTAGTACCTCCACGGTACTAGTTTTTTACAGCGCTGCTTTGGCGTTTAGCCACGGGTTACCGACGGGAGCTCTACACTTGCCAGATGTTGCCCTGTGATCGCGCCAGGAAACTCCGCCTCTCTTCCGTCTCTGAAGCGTGGCTTATGCTCCGTGTGACCGCAGCCTAATTTCTTCCACTTCAGTGATTGTTTATAGAAGACACAGGAACAAGCCGGGATTTTATTCTAGGGTTGCCAACCTCCAGGTGGGGCCTGGAGATCTCCCAGAACTACAGAGTTCAGTTCCCCTGGAGAAAATTGCAGTTTTGATGGTGGACTCCAGCATTATACCCCACTGAGGTTCTGTCCCTTCCCAAACTCCGCCCTCCCTGTGCTCCACCCCCCAAATATCTAGGTATTTCTCAATCTAGAGTTGGCCACTCAATTTTATTCTGGTCAGCTGGCAATCCAAAGGCCGCAGCAGGGATCTTGGGTCTGTATTGTTACCAAACTCAGACATCATCATACGGTTTCATCTTTTACGTTTATGCTTCAAGTTGACCGGCTGTGATATGACAGGATAGAAGAGTGACTTCTGTGTCTTAAGAAGGGATTTAAATAAGGGAAGTGTCCTGTTGTAGTGATTAACAGAACTATCCTGAGGGGGAGGCGAATGGGAATAGGGTGTGTGGCACGGAAAGCTGTCCGACAGCTCTCTGCAGTGCAGACTTAGAGCTAGTGCACACGCAGCTTGGTGGGCAAGCACTTGGGAATACATCACCGGAAGACCAAATCCACACTCTGTGGCTGAACTCTCCCAAATTTCAGGCCTCACAGGTACAGCAGCTCATCCGCCGGGATCCCAGGGGGAGCCACGCAGGAACAGGTAAGCAAGGCACCCCTTCCCAACCCCCATTCCTCCCCTTGGCCAACAACAGTGGCATTGAGCCACACTGGACATGGTGTTTCTCGCTCCTGAACCTGGCAGCCGGAAGGGGAGCAGGAGTGCTCCCACAGATGCACATGGACCCCACACATCAAGCAGTTTGGTGTGCTGGGGGCCGCCCAATGCAGCTGAGTCCAATTCACTATAGCTAGTTGCTACTACAGTGGGGAAAGAATTAAAAACCTTCTTGTTTGAGTACCTGAAAGCGAGTTTGGTGTAGTGGGTAAGTGCGCGGGCTCTAGTCTGGGAGAACTGGGTTTGATTCCCCACTCCTCCACTTGCAGCTGCTGGATGACCTTGGGCAAGCCATAGTTCTGTCAGAGTTGTTCTCTCAAGGACAGTTGTTCTCTCAGCCCCACCTACCTCACAGGGGGTTTGTTGTGGGGAGGTATAAGATATCAGTCTCGAGGCATCTCTTAAACAAGTGATTCAACTTTATTAACAATAACAATCAACAACATAGCAATACAGTAAGTAGCTCAACTTATACTCTTTTGGCCCGGCAAACCATGCCCCCTAGGTTGTTAAACTTCAATCATAACGAATAGATAACGACCAATAGTTGTTGCTCCCTCCAAAACCATCCCGAAGCTCTGATTGGCTCTCTGTGCAAAGTAGCCAATCAGAACGTGCAGTTTAGGATACCAGGCCTCTATGGCGCTGTGGACTGAAGCTGAAGTCAACTCAACTGTATGTCTTGACAATACATAACACCCCTCCCCCCAAGACAACAATACCCATTAACAGATAAAGTGTCTCAAATAAGTGGGGCGATACTGATTTTGCTGGGAACACCACAGTTCCCTGGCCAGAGGGCCCAAATCTGTGGGGCACGGAGGAGTTTGACTTATGTCGCCATTCTGTTGGCCGCTCTTGGCTGCTGCCGGACCATCCACAGCCAGGTTAGCAGGACCTGTATTAGTGGCTGTTGGTGCCGGCGGCTGCATAGTCTCAGGCTCAGCGGTTGACATTGAGTCCGACAGGGGTTCGATGTCAGAGGAAAAAGGAGGGTCAGATCACTCCACAGTCGGAGTTGGACCCCCGGTCGACTCCGAGCAGTCCTCTGTGGGGGACTCCGGATGGTCAGCTCATTGACGTCGAACCTGATCGATGTGTTGCCTTAAGCTCCT